ACATAAATGTTTGAGTAATTTCTACACCCAATGTGGGTTCGAACTTACAACCCTGAGATCAAGAGGCACATGCTCTACTGACTGAGCCAGCCAGATGCTCTAACTTCTGTATTTCTTATCACCTTGTGATAGTTAATTTTTTCTACAACATTCATGTATTCTTGGGTTCATGTTTTAAAATTTTTTTTTTTTTTCAACGTTTATTTATTTTTGGGACAGAGAGAGACAGAGCATGAACGGGGGAGGGGCAGAGAGAGAGGGAGACACAGAATCGGAAACAGGCTCCAGGCTCTGAGCCATCAGCCCAGAGCCCGACGCGGGGCTCGAACTCACGGACCGTGAGATCGTGACCTGGCTGAAGTCGGACGCTTAACCGACTGCGCCACCCAGGCGCCCCAGTTGGGTTCATGTTTTAAATGTTCATGTTTTAATTAATGTCTGTTCTTCTTGCTTTATTCTTTTGTACTTTAAAAAACTTTTTGGTTTTTCCTACCTTACAGTTATTTTGGTCATCTTCAGAGGCCAGGAAGGTCCCAGGGACCCAGGTTGCTTTTGGTCAGTTCTGTTTTCTGTGGCAGTGTTAACTGGTATGTAGCAGATGTTCAGTACATGAAATGAATTTGAAAGAACACTTTGAGTCTCTTTTGCAGTTCCTTCTTTAATGATAGAATGCACATCTGGAGTTTTGATAAGACCCATTGTTTCTTGGGTGCCTGGGTGGCTCACTTGGTTGAGTGACCTACTCTTGATTTTGGCTCAGGTCATGATCCCAGGGTCATGGGATCCCTGACATGGGATCAAGCCTTGCGTCAGGTTCCATACCGAGTGTGAAGTCTGCTTAAGGTTCTCTCCCTGTCTTCCTCAGCCCCTCTACTTTGTGCATGCTCTCTTTAAAAAAAAAAAAAAAAAAAAAAAAAAAAAAAAAAAAAAAAAGACTCTGTTGTTGCATAGTTAATCTGGGTTGAGATTAAGTTGAGCAGGGTATCCTATGAGAGGAGACTGGTTGATCTGTGATGAATTGGGAGTTCAGTCCCAAATGGATTCTGCTTTAACATTCCTTCTGATTCAGAGTCTGCCAGTAGTATCCAGTATTGTGGCTATTTCCCAGTCCTGTTTCAGCTATGCAGTTAATGGGAGAGAGTTTCTACTAAGCCATTGCTTGGAGATTTTGGGGGTAGTTCAGACAGATGAGATTACTACTTCAGGTATCAATAAACTAGGTCTCAACAAACTAAGATACTTCCTGAATTAGGGTTTAACAGTTTATTTGACTGCACTTAATCACATCTGATTGGTATAGGAGATTGGAGAAAGCCTTATCCGAAATTAGAATGTGCTTCCAATTTTCAGTCCCATTTCAGCTGTGATTATAGGTTTTTCTTTGTTACTGATTTCATGTGTATTTAGTTTTTGATGGAAGTATGTCCAGTGTATTCCTATTCTACCATCTTTCAGGAAATTTCTATATTTTCTTAGCCGTGGGTGGTTTTGAGATTAGTCAAGCTATACAAATGGTGGTTATAAGAAAATTTAGAGATTCCATTTACATTGTAGTAGTTTGAAACTGGCATTTTTGATTCTGTGATAATGCTTTGGGTTAGGGTAGACTATGTTGCAGTTGTATATTTGTTCACTTGCTGGGAAGATGTACATTCCAGAGGTGTTGTGTGGGTTAAAGAATCTGGACAAAGTAGGAGGTGAATTTAGGTGATAAATTGTATTTTTGAGAAGGATTGAGACTTACTGTGACTTAAACAGTTTTCTTGGAGTCTTAATGCTTTTTTCTGCAAGTGTGAAATACCTGTATAACTTACCTTGGATTTAATATTATTAAGTAAAACATTTAAGGAAAATAGCAAATGCTTAAAAAAATTCGAAGTAATTAGAAACTACCCCATCCCCTGACCTTCTCAACTGAAGGGAGCGTGGGGGGCAGAGAAGCCCATCACTCATTGTCTTGGTTGGCCTGGTGGAGGGAAAATGTTGAATTATTGAAAACCATTGGACTAGATGATCTGTAAGGTTCTCTTTAGTTCTAAAATTTTATTGTTAAGTCACCAAGAGCACCTATTAAGTGAGGAGCAAGCAGTGAATTTTGTCTTTAGAAAGCTAATTTAATTATCTTGTTGCTCCCCTGCTTAAAAACATGCAGTGGTTCATAATCCTTGAGGGTTTCTAAAAGGTGGGCAGGCTCAACTCCATCCCAAATCCCAGATCAAGCAGGAAAGCCTATTTAGATTGGAATAATGAGAAAAAGTTCTTGTTTAAAATAATGTTTTAAACACAAGAAGTTTAAATCTTTTTTTTAAAAACTTATTTATTTTGAGAGAGAGAACACATGCTCATGTGTGCATGCATGAGCAGGGGAGAGGCAGAGAGAGAGAGAGGGAGAGAGAGAGAATCCCAAGCAGGCTCCATGCTGTCAATGCAGAACCCAAGGTGGGGCTCGATCCCACAATCTTGAGATCACAACCTGAGCTGAAATCGACAGTCAGATGTTTGACCAACTGCCACCCAGGCACCCCTAAACACAAGAAGTTTAAATTATCAATATTGAGTTTTCAATTTGGAAATGATAAAAAGTATCATAATTATCTGCTGAGGGCTGCCATAACAAAATACCTCAGCCAGAATGGCTTGAACAGCAGTTTATTTTCTTACAGTCTGGAGGCTAAATATCAGAGATCAAGGTTTCAGAAGGGTTGATGCCTTCTGAGGCTTTCTCCTTAGCTTGCAGATGGCTGCCTCTTCCCTCTGTCCTCCCAGGGTTTCCTGTGTGAACCCCTGCTCTCTCGCTCTCTCTCTCTCTCTCTCTCTCTCTCTGTGTGTGTGTACAGATGTACTCTTATAAAGATACACCAGTCAGGGGGTATTCAGACCTACCTGATCTATTTCAACAGTCACTTTTTTACAGGCCCTATTTCCATGTACTGCCACATTCTGAGAGGAAGGGTTCCAACATGAATTTTGGGGGGAGACACAATTCAGCACATAACATACATAAATAACTAAGAAGGAATTTCTTATTTATCATTACCTTTGCCTTTCAGTTGGTAATTACCAAGATCACCAGGGAAAGCTCTCAGCTATTGGTCTTGGTCTTACAAACTATGTTCTACTTTAGAAGACAGCATTTTCTTCCTAAAAAGCTAAAACCCTAAACCACTTATTTAAAAAAAATTGATACATGTGTATTTCAAAAAGTCAAATAGTGCTAAGAGGTGTATTTATAAAACAATTCCTTACCCACACTCTCAACTCTTAGCTGTTTTTTCTTGTATTTATCTCTAGGTTGTTGTTTTTTTTTTAAACCTCCATATTTCAAATTGATCCATGCATGTGTACAAACTATTTCTTAATTCTTGTTGTCAGATTTTTATTGTTGTTGTTGAGTTTCTGTTAGAGTAGATATGGATTTCAGTTCTCTTACACCTTTTCCTCTACACCCTCATTCTCCTAATAATTACATCATAGTTAAAAAACCCTACATTTAGCATTTCATAATTGTGACTGTGTAAAAACTATATGCCAAGGCAATACTGTGACTATATATATTTTTTAAATGTTCATTTATTTTGAGAGGGGGCTGGTAGAGAGAGAGAGGGAGACAGAGAATCCCAAGCAGTTTTCATGCTCGGTGTGGAGTCCATTGTGGGGCTTGATCTTATGACCCCAAGATCATGACCTGAGCTGATATCAGGAGTCGGATGCTCAACTGAGCCACCCAGGTGCCCTGTGACTGTATTTTCTTACATTACTTTTAATTTTTCCTGGAGTTATTAAGTTAACCTTGGTTTGTCCATTTTCTTAGTTTTCTTTAAACCTGAGGCTAAATTTCTTGTATCTTCAAATGCTTTTGTAAAATCTCTCTCAATACAGCATTCCAAACTTTCAAACCTATAAAATAATTTATCTGCCCCCCCCCCCCCCAATCTTGGCTCCTCTGTCACATTTCTGTCTGGATTTGTTGCCTCTAGGCCTTCTACACATCTGTTACCTAGGACTTTGCTTCATTACCATATTGGAGATCTCTTAGTTTTTCTCCTATATTTGATCCCTTCTTTAGTGGATATTATCTTTCTTCATTTTCTTCCTAATTTTGATAGAATATATATTCTCCAGTAGGTTCTAGGGAAAGGGTAAATAAAAGCTAAAATTTTGGAGACTAAATCCTATTATTACCATTGATTATCTGGGCATAGCATTCAGAATTGAAAGCAAATCACTGAAATTTTTTATTCTTGGGGCACTTGGGTAGCTCAGTTGGTTAAGCGTCTGACTTTGGCTCAGGTCATGATCTCATGGTTCATGAGTTTGAGCCCTGTGTTGGGCTCTGTGCGGACAGCTCTGAGCCTGGAGCCTGCTTCAAATTCTGTGTCTCCCTCTCTCTCTCTGCCCCGCCCCTGTGCACACTTTCTCTCTCTCTCAAAAATAAAAACATTAAAATTTTTTTTTAATTTTATTCTTAAAAATAGAAATGGCATGCTCATGAACTGAAATTTGAATGGTTCAAGGGGTTATGGAGAGGGGGAGTGTGTCTGTGGCATGAGGGCATTTTGGGGGATGGTGGAACTATTCTGTATTTGATTCTAATGGTGGCTTTACCAGTTACTATATGTTCAACTTCATAGAACTGTTCACCAAAAGCAAAAAGTTCAGTTTTTTTTTTAAAGTTCAGGTTGTATGTATGATAGCTTAAGAATTAAAAAATCGGAATTTAAAAGTGCAAAAAAGTATATAGCAAAAAGGAAGTCTCTTCTTTCTCTCTGTGTTAGCTTTCCAGTTTTCCTTTCTGGAAGAAACCACTGTTACCAGTTTCTTATGTATTCTCCCACTTAATCACTCTTGAACATGTAAACAACATTTAGAGGCAAATCAGGTAGAATTGAAAGAAACTTAAATTTGCTCAGTATTTTCTGAGAGTGCAAACTCTTAGAATACATGTAAATATGTTATTAATCAAGCCTGGCACTAACTGGTTAAAATTATTTCTCCTACAGTTGGCAAACATGAATTGACTGGGCACAAAGTTGCTGTGAAGATACTCAATCGACAGAAGATTCGAAGCCTTGATGTGGTAGGAAAAATCCGCAGAGAAATTCAGAACCTCAAGCTTTTCAGGCATCCTCATATAATTAAACTGTAAGAACTGATTGTATTAAATGTAGTCATATCATTTTAAAATAATTTTTGTTAACCAACTTACTCTGACAAGTGAGAAGGATGACTGACATTTCTTGAATCTTCCTCAAGATTTAAAGATTTTTGCCTGTTCATGTATTTATCTATATCTAACCCTGTTCTTGGTCACCTAAGCCTGTGTTCATGTTTTGCCCTTGTGCTTATCAGCTGTTACCTTTCTCATTCTTTCTTGTCTTCTGGACATGGCTTTCTGATAGATAACTTTCTGTGTCCCTGTTGCTGTAGAACCAACAATGATTTGCTAGTAAAAACTCTTGACATCCAAATTTCCACATGATGTCACTTAGCCAGTAGAAAGGGTGTTCCCCTGTACTGCTTATATCTGAGAAAACAAATAATGACCGATAAAATTTTAGGACTCCAGTATTTCAGAAGGGCAGTGATATTATGGTTGTTTTACAGTGGCCAATTGTAGGGTCTCCATATAACTTACTTATTGCTCAGTTTTCTCATGCGGGCTGTCAGTGACAACTGCTTAGCTTTTGTACTGAATGAGCTGACTCAATTTGTTTCACTCTCCTCTCTTCTCATTTGCTGAGGTGCTGTAGTTTTAAGTGCTGTCCATATGCTGATGACTTCTCCATACACATCTCCTGCTTTGTTACCTCTTCCCCTAACTCCAGATCCCTCACTCACTGCGTATGTCACATCCCCATGGGGATGCTAGAGCTGAACTTTCTGTTACCCTCCCCCAAGCCTGCTCTTCCCACAGCTGTCACCCTCTGTGAATATCCAGTTCCTTAGGGCAGAGACTTAGGAACCATCCTGAACTTCCTGTCATCCATTCCATTTCTTTCTTCAAAATCTATCTAGAATCCGAGTGTTCCTCAATTCCTTCATTACCATCAGCCTAGTTTGAGCCACTGTCATCTCTGTCACAGACTCCTGCAGTAGACTATTGCTTCCACGTTTACCATCCCATCAGTTCTTCATGTTGTTGCCATAAATTAAAGTTTCCTTTTTAAGAGATTAGATCACGTGACTACTTTGCTTAAAACCTTTAATAGCTTTGCATCTCCCTTAGAGTAGAAGTCAGGCCTCATCGTGGTTTGTAAGGTTCTGTCCTCTGGTCTCCAGTTAGCTTTTTGAGTCCACATCCTATTTCTTTCTGCCAGCTCTCTCTGCTCTAGCCGTCTTACCATTCCTCAAACATGCCAGACAGACTTGTACCTCGGGGCCTTTGCACTTGCTGGCTCACCTTCTTCCTAGATCATGGTATGGTTTGCTCCCTTCCATCAGGTTCTGCTCAAATGTTACTTTATTGGACAGTAGTCCTTCCTTAAATGCCCTGTGTGAGAGGTTCCTCGTAGTTTGTTTTATTTCTCTTCATAGCAAGTTCTACCACCTGAGATATTGCTTATTTATTTAGTGTCTGTTTCCTGGCTCCTGGAATGTGAACTCCATGAAGGCAGAGAATTTGTTTTGTTCCCTGCAGCTTTCCCGGATTCTAGCACAGTGCCTGCTATATTATAGGCACTTAGTAAATATTTACTGAATGATGAATATACATGTTTTAATATTGGTAGATAAATGTTTTCTCTCACCAGGTACCAGGTCATCAGTACACCATCTGATATTTTCATGGTGATGGAATATGTCTCAGGAGGAGAGCTATTTGATTATATCTGTAAAAATGGAAGGGTAAGCAGTTCTGATTTAATCCTGTATATATTTTGTAACTCCCCTTATTCCTTAGTAGCTTCAAAATGTCAGAGAGCAATTTTGTTAAGAGGTCTACTTAATAACCAGTTTCCTTAGTCATATATTTGTCTAGAATCATAGACGATTTAGAGTTAGAAAAGACCTTAAAGACTATTTCCTTAGTCTACTTACATGGAAGTGGAAGCTGAGACTCACGATTTATAGTTTACTCAAGGTCACATGATTTATTAATGACAGAATTGGATTGAGACCCCAGAACTCATGATCCTCCAACTCATGCTTTTGGGGTATACAAATACTTGTAATGTATATCTTGAAGTATATATTTAATCCTTACAAAACATATTAAAGATCTAGGCCTTGCTAGTCAACCCTGGCCACATTTAAATTGCATTCATTTTTTGGTTTCAGAAATCTGATGTACCTGGAGTAGTAAGAACAGGCTCCATGAAGGAGGTAGGAATTAGACTTAAAGAATTTAGAGTTGGAAGGAACTTTAGAAGATATTTTGAACAGTTTCTTAAGTTACAGACATAAAAAGTAAACACCGCCCCTCCTGCCCATGTTTTTCTCATACCCAGGTTATGTGGTATGGCTAAAACCTCTTTCTAGAAGAGCTGTGTCTAGCAGTGAGAAGCCATTTTTTTTCCCTCTCAATCTAAAGTTCTTTATATCATTCACTCATTTGTTCTATGTAGCATATCTATTTACTTTCATCAAAATCAAACTCATTAACCAAGTTAACTTTGATTTTACCATTTTTTAACATGGTTCATTTCAATTTTCAGGTATTCCACTTCTCTATTCACTGTACCCCCTCCCCCCATGCTATGCTATGCCTGGAAAAATGGAAACAGGCACAAGTTGGATTGGTATCTTGTTTTCTTATCTTTTCCATTTGTCATTTCTTGGTCATTTTTCTTCTGTGGTATATTAAAATTTCAGCTGTTGGGGTGCCTGAGTGGCTCAGTCAGTTGTGTCCGACTTTGGCTCAGGTCGTGGTCTTGTAGCTGGTTAGTTTGAGCCCCACATTGGACTCTGTGCTGATAGCTCAGAGCCTGGAGCCTGCTTCTGATTGTGTCTCTCTCTGCCCCTCCCCCACTCACGCTGTGTCTCTGCCTCTCTCTCAAAAATAAATAAACATTTAAAAAATTTTAAATTTCAGCTGTCATATTTTCTATTTCAAAGATCTTGTTTTCTGAAATTTTCTTTTTAAAGTTTATTTATTTATTTTGAGAGAGAGAGCAAGTGTGCAGGTATGCACATGTGGGAGGGGCAGAGAGAGAGAGAGGGAAAGAGAGAATCCTAAGCAGGTTTCATGAAGCCTGATGAGTGAGATCTTGACCTGAGCTGAAATCAAGACTTGGACGCTTAACTGACTGAGCCATCTAGGCGCCTCTGAAATTTTCTTTTTTAAATAGCCAGTTCTGCTCCACAGTTATAATAACCTTATCTGTCTAAGGATAATAATTAGTTGGTTTTTTTTAAGGTTTTAATTTTAATTCCAATGTAGTTAACATGCAGTGTTTTATTTGTTTCAGGTGTAAAATACAGTGATTCAACAATTCTGTACCTTACTTAATCAGTGCTCAACATAAGTGTACTCTTAATCCCCATCACACTTTCACCCATTCCTCCCATCTCTGGTAACCATCAGTTTGTTCTCTGTAGCTAAGAGTCAACAGTTGTTACTTACTTACTTACTTATTTATTTATTTATTATTTAAGTTTTCCTCTGTTCCCTGCATTGTTACTGTACCTTTTGTGCTCCCTGTTCCTTTTTTTTTTTTTTTCCCCCTGTTCATTTTATTGGTCTCTGTCTTTTGTAAAGGTCCTTCCTCAGATATCTGGTGATTCTTGGTTGTCCACTTATATTTGAGTGAGGTACTAAATGCCAAGCTCATGTAGGTGGAACTTAATGATTGGTGAGCCTTCCCATAGGTGGAATAGGTAGGGATCTGTCCATTTTGTTAGGGTGCACCAAATACCCGTAATTTCAAATAGTTTTCCTTAGATCAGAGGGTTGCTCTGGAAGCAATGTTTCAATTTCCTTGAGGGTATTAGCTTAGCTTGCAGTTCTCTGAGAGCTGAATTGGGAAGAGGCCTGCAAGACTCAGTAGTTAGTATGTTGACTTTCACTTAATCCCTGTGTTTTCCTTCGGGCGCCTCATCCCTGCCTTGGTGTCCTTGAGAACAGAGCTGGTTTGGTCTTACTCAAGAGCAAATCATGGGTCTTATTCCCCCATAGGGGTGAATTTAAAACTTCAACCAATTGTCCTGCTTTCGGTCCACCTCTCATTTCTCCCTTCACGAATTTTCTAATTTCTAAGCTTTTCCAGAGTTCTGTGTGCAGGCTAGTTTATTATTGGTTTCCACCCTGCAGGCTTAAGATTTCTGCTTTCTGTTTGGTCAAGTCTTCATCGTTCATCCACTCTATAGCTTGGTGACTCCTTCTGATTTTACTGTTGTCACTTTTCTTGCTCTTTTGGTCTTTCTATGCTAATGTCCTTTTAGTGATGTTTCAAGGTGTGGAGACAAAAGATTCAGTCTACCATGTTTAACTGCAAATATGCTTTAACTTTTCTAACTTTCCTTTGGAGACTTCTCCTTTTTCATCTTTTGTACTGTATTTATTGTTAATATGGTATAATTTTCATTTTTGTAGTCTGTTTAGTTAATTTACCTATTATATTTTGTTTAATCAATTAAGTTTTATTTCACATTTAGAACACATTCTTTTTTTCATTTAGTATATTTAATATAAATAAAGTTGTGTTAAAAAAAGTGAACCTACATTTCTTCTAGAAATAAATGTGTTAGATTATTAGCAGGTTATTTTCTCTAGAGGAAGGGTGTCTCATTGTACTTCATTAGTTTTAATTTTGCTTTCAAAAGAAATTACTAGTTCACCTTTTCTCCCAGATTGTCCATGCCATTTAAAGTGTAGAAGTCTGGCTTTAGAATGCTAATTTGTGACCTCTGTTAGAAAATTGCATATTATAGAGAATTAATAGGCTATTTATTAAATATGACTTCATGGGTACAGGCTCATCCAAATAATGGTTATAGCTTTGGGGAAAAAAATCGTAAAACAAGACAATATGGATAAATGGATAAATGGAAGTTCTTAAAGAATATTTTTTAAAATGTTAGTTCCTGCATAAGATAATTTTTTCAGAAAACAGACTAAAGATACATGTTTTTATATTTTATAAAACAAATGAATTAAGGTTTTTCTTTTGTTACAACTAAAAAGTCTTTATTTCAGGACATATAACTTGATTGCTTGCTAATTCATTAACAGTCTTGAATGTTACTTCCTCATATAGTCTAAAATAGTATCACCCACCCCAATATAATTCTGTGCCCTTATTCTGCTTTATTTTTCTTAAAATACTCCTTGATGGTCTCTTTATTTCTTTATTGTCTATTTTCATCAACTAGATTAAGAGCCTTTGTTTTATTCATTGCTGTATCTTGAGTGCCTAGAACTGCTTGGCACACTAAAGATGTTCAATAAATATTTGTTAAAGGAATGAAGGATTAAATGTTTCCAGTGTATAGGAGAAAACATATCTAGTTTCAAGGAGAAGTTGAAACTATTTGAAATAGCTCATGAAATACAGGGGAAAGCAATGTAGTCACAAGAGTGGTAACAGAAAGTTGAGTTCCAAGATCCTCTTAGCATTTTGGCTTTGTGCTGATTGTACCCATCTCCCCATTGCAAAAGTATCTCAGGATGAGTTTCATTTGGAAGGTTTCATGCGTTTTGATGGTTTTATAGGTTGGAGAGTTGTAGGTAGAAAAATTTCTTCTGAAAAGCACACCTTTAAAATGCCTCTCTACTTTTCGTAGCTGGATGAAAAAGAAAGTCGGCGTCTGTTTCAACAGATCCTTTCTGGTGTGGATTACTGTCACAGGCATATGGTGGTCCATAGAGATTTGAAGCCTGAAAATGTCCTGCTTGATGCACACATGAATGCAAAGATAGCTGATTTTGGTAAGGAGATTTTTATAGTTTCGAATATTCATTATGTTTAATGAACATCAAAGCATTCTTCAGATAAGTTTTACTTCTATGCAATGGACTAAGTATCCCAAAATAGTGTATCCTCACCATTTTGCCTATGAGCATACAGAAAGGAGAAGAAGTGACAAATTCTCTTCTTAACTTTATGTCTTTAAAATTTAGTTTTAGGACAATAGGTAAATAAATTGGCAGCATTAGAGACATCATTTGAATAGAGACTATTATTTGTGAAGGAGAAGTTAACAACTTTATTTCCAGTTCTTTTTTTTTCTTAAAGTTTGAGAGAGAGCATAAGTGGGGGGTGGGGGGCAGAGAGAGAGAGGGAGAGAATGAAAATGAATTATAAGCAGGCTCTGAGATGCCAGTGCAGAGCCCGCCCTGAGGCTTGAACTCATGACCTGAACCCAAATCCAGAGTCATGCTTAACCGATTAAACCACCTAGGTTCCCCTCCAGTATGTTCTTTTGATCAAGTATGGAGCAAGAGGAAAGAGACTGAATGGAGTTATACAAACTCTGAAAGCCAGAAGGTAAACTGTATGAACAAAATCATTCATTCATTTATTTTTAAGAAGTTTATTTCTTTATTTGGAGAGAGAGAGTGCACGCACTCAAGTTGGGGAGAGGCAGAGAGAGAACGAGAATCTTAAGCAGGCTGCATGCTCAGCTTGGAGCCCGGCGCTCTTGATCATGCCACTGTAAGATCATGACCTGGACTGAAATCAAGAGTCAGAGAAACCCAATCTAATTGAGCCACAACAAAGCCCCGTGAACAGAATTATTTAAAAAAAAACTAGTAAAATATTTTACATGATAGAAAAGCATAATTTCACCTTGGGAAGAACATTGTCAAAAATGAATTTATTTTCCTTTTATGTCCTATATAAATTGCCATTGATACTATTTTATTAAATTTAAGAAAAATTAATCTCTGCAACTCAATTTTGCTTAGCTTAAGTTCTTTTTATTTTTTTTTTTTATTTATTTTTTTTTTTTCAACGTTTATTTATTTTTGGGACAGAGAGACAGAGCATGAACGGGAGGGCAGAGAGAGAGGGAGACATAATCGAAACAGGTTCAGGCCTCCAGCCATCAAATACCAGAGTTCGACGCTGGGCTCGAATCACGACCGCTTAGATCGTGACTCGTTGAAGTCGACGCGAACCGATTGGCGCACCCAGGCTACTCTGCTTAGCTGGGTTCAGAGGTGATTTCATAAGTATTTTTCTCAGATTTGAATATATGTATTTTATTTATTTATTTTTTTTTTTTTTTAATTTTTTTTCAACGTTTATTTATTTTTGGGACAGAGAGAGACAAAGCATGGAACGGGGGAGGGGCAGAGAGAGAGGGAGACACAGAATCGGAAACAGGCTCCAGGTTCTGAGCCATCAGCCCAGAGCTCGACGTTGGCTCGAACTCCTCGATCACAGATCGTGACCTGGCTGAAGTCGGACGCTTAACCGACTGCGCCACCCAGGCGCCCCTGAATATATGTATTTTAATCTATAGAGATTCACTAAGCAGTGCCAGTCAACTCTGAGCTACTGATTTGCTATTGTTGTTGTTGTAACTGACTAAATTATTTGACTTCCTTATTCCTTAATTGTCATGATTATTTTTTTAAGATTTTATTTTTAAGTAATCTCTATACCCAACATGGGGCTCAAACTCACAACCCTGAGATCAAGAGCTGCATGCTGGCAACTGAGCCAGCCAGGCACTCCTTTCATGATTATTTTTATCTAGTACATTTTTGAGAAGGCAGAGGTTTCTTTCTGGAGTAAAACTATGCGGGAGGGAGCTTTGATATTCAGAGTTACTGTTTTGTTTTTTAAAGAATCAGAACAGGGTCATAGAATCTTTGAATTTTAATTTTTCTACTCATCTACATTTTTTCTAGTAATTTCTTTATTAATAAATTTAAACATGCTGAGTTTATTCTAATAAACAGAACAACAGATAGCTTAATATATACTCATTAACTTCCAGTAGTGCACTAACTTAATTTTCTTAATGTTTGTTTATTTTTGAGGACAGGTTGGGGGGAAAGAGAGAGGGAGAGGAAGAGGGAGAGGGAGGGAGAGAGCGAGAAAGAACAAGCCAGAGGAGGGGCAGAGAGAGGGAGACAGAGAATCCCAAGCAGGCTCCTAGCTGCCAGCACAGAGCCCAACTCGGGGCTGGATCTCACTGTGAGATTATGACCTGAGCCAAAATCAAGAGTTGGATACTTAAGTGACTGAGCCACTCAGCTGCCCCCAAATAATGCACTAACCTTAAATGCTGAAATAGATTACAAATTTTACGGCATAATGACAAAATGTTTGGGAACAGTAAAGACTAGGAATTTGTTTAAGCAAAGAATATAGTGATGATTTATCACTTTAATGCAAACCCAATTTTATTGTTTAATGGAGTTTTGTTTTTATTTCCTTGGGAAATCTTCAATAGTTGATTTTTTTGTACATTTTCAGGTCTTTCAAACATGATGTCAGATGGTGAATTTTTAAGAACAAGCTGTGGCTCACCCAACTACGCTGCACCAGAAGTAATTTCAGGAAGGTAGTATTTGACACCCTCCCACACTAATACATTTGTAATTATCTTTTTTTTCCTAGATTTTGTCTGTCTGTGGTGTCATATTAAATTGTAGTGAAAGGAAAGACATTTAGGGCTTATTCTTTTCTTATCCAGAAAGTGTTATATTTTAGGGATAAAACATAAGAATTAAGGATTCCATTTATAGAAGAGAATTCTTTTTTCCCCCTGGTAGAAGAAATTGAAGGTTTAAAACTAGCAAGTTTTAAAGGTAGGTCAGACATTAAAAACTTGCATAATACAGGAATACCTACTATTTAGAAATGGTTTACTTAGATGAAGGGTTAAAAGTATAATGTGTACCTTTAATTTTTCAGATAGAAGACATTTTGTAGTAGCTTTTTGTTTTATGATAAGGTGATTGGGGGATTGGACTGAAGTATGATAAAATCTTTAGACTTCATTTATTTTCTGGAGACTGCAGTATTATAAGAATTCTAATCTCTCAATTTACTGACCACCGGCATTGAGAACATGAGGATCTTTATACAGTGCAGCTTTTTGAATAGATTAGATGACAGGAAAATTTAATTTTTAAAGAGTAATTGTTTTTCACTGTACTACTGAAATTGAAAGCAGATGGCTAGGTTTGTTACTAGTCTTTATAATTACCTTTTAATAACGTTTCACTCAAACCATGTTTCTTTGTTTGAATGTGTCATATCCTAATTCAGAATGCAGAAATAGTATAGTATTTTCTCTCTGTTTTCATAACCTTGCTTGCCTGGCCTGCTCAGAGAAATTATATTTGGGTAAAGTCATGGCTATGATTAAGGCAGAAGTATCTAATTTTAGATTTATCAAGCTTCATCATTATTTTTTTTGATCAGCTTAATGTTCAAAGAATGTTTTTAAATTATTTCATTTGTGCCATCTAAATTATTTTGGGAAAAAACAATTCTGGGGGCAATGTTAATTAAAAAAAAATAAAAGAAAGAAATGTAAATATGCATATATGCATGGGCCATTTCTGAAGTCTAATTTTCCAGTTTGGGAAGGTCTTTCTGTGAGCCCTGGATGAGTGGGAACTTGTATTCAAAGCACTATTTATGGATTAGTTCAACAGTTTATTTGATCAGTTTACAGACATCCTTTCCCCAAAGCCAGACTTTGTGCTAACAGTCTGCAGTAGTTAAGTCAGTTGGCTACAGTGTATTGTAAATACCAGTTTAGGATCTTCTTTGTGAACCAGTCAGTTTGGCTTTCTTTCACAGCCTCAGGCCCCTTTTACCTTGGTAGGAAGTCTTGGGTTTTGGGGGGAGAGTGGGTTTAGGGTTCATCACTAAAGAACATTCTTAATTGATATCATGAGGAACAAAGTAAAGGAGTAAGAACAGAATTTTAGCTATAGTCTAACCTAAAAATTCTTAACTTTTGTTTTCAAAGATAATGATGATAGAATTATATAGAATCTTTCTGTATAGTGTAAAGCAATGACTATAGAAAACATACTCTAATAATTCTTTATAAAGTATCCATATTTAAAACTTTTGATTAATTAACTCTCAAGTTACTAATGATTATTTAATCCAATTGGTATTTCCTGTTACAGATTGTATGCAGGTCCAGAGGTAGACATATGGAGCAGTGGGGTTATTCTCTATGCTTTATTATGTGGAACCCTTCCGTTTGATGATGATCATGTGCCAACTCTTTTTAAGAAGATATGTGATGGGATCTTTTATACCCCTCAGTATTTAAATCCATCTGTGATTAGCCTTTTGAAACATATGCTACAGGTGGATCCCATGAAGAGGGCCACAATCAAAGATATCAGGTAATAATGCAACTTGGAGATTATCAGATCTAATAGCTTCAATGATTTAAATTAAGTGAAAGAAAGAGTTGCAGGACAGTATGTATAATGTCATGTCATTTGTATGTTAAAAAATACAGTATATAGGCACATTTGTTTTCGTATTTAAAAATACACAGTAAACTGGTTACCTTAGGGAAGGAAGATTAGTAGGAGGGAGGGCTTTTACTTTTCACTTACACGTCTTTCTTTTGAAAGAAAATAAAAATAGACCCTGGTGGGATGTTAAATTTTGTAGTGGCTCTTTAAGATTTTCTGTGGTATGCTTCATATTTGACTTTTATGCATTCTCATTAGGATTAATGCTTTTCAGTAGGAGTAAATTTGTGTGTTGCCATTTGAATTCTATCTCATAAATTACTCCCTTTTTTCCTTTTGTTCATCTCAAGTAATGAGGAATTTTTAATTTAATCAATGACATGCTTTTGTTTTTTGGGTACTATAGATTGAATCACATGTGGAATTACTGATTTGTAAGTTTCATATGGAAGGGCATGCTTTTACCACCAATGGAAAAGGATAAATCATTCTTTAAAATTTAAAATATCTAAGTGAAAGGTGCTTCCATTTGTGTTTTACATGGTTTTTTTTTCCAATTTAAATGCAATATGTGACAATTAGAAGACTTAGAAAACACCAAAAACAAAACAACAAAAAACCAAAACCAAAACAAAAAAAACCCCACCAGAAAATGATCTTTAATTCCATCACCCAGAAGATAATCGTTGTTCTTTTGAGTGTTTTCCTTTCATGATGTTTTTAGTTTTAGCAGTTTTTGACATAGTTTAGGTCAAACATATTCTTTTATATTTGAAGAGTTGTTATCTTCATAGAGTTGTTTTATAAGGTGAGATAATGTATATGAAGTATTTAGCCTAAAATCTACCACAGAGTAAGCATTCAGTGAATGATAGTTGTCTGTTTTTGTTGTTTTTTTCACCTAACATTGTATCAAGAATATTATAATAATGAAGCCACAGAATATATTCTTTTCTCTGAACTGGAAATAAGCTGGTCTTGGTCATTTGTTTGTCATTGTCATTTGTGCCAAAACTTTAAATAAAAGTGAAGACATTTCTTTTCCAGTTAGTGCAGCACTGCTTTTTCCCTCTTAAAATCTGAGGGAGGTTGGAGCATTTCCCCCAATATATACAGTGAAATGTGAGCCAGAAGAAAGTCTCAGTTTAAAAAAAATGAAAATACCCTATGTGTATAAATAGAAATGAATTCATATCCTAAATCCCCCAAACTGTTACTTACAGTCTCACCTCCTAACTTTGTCTCAGGGAGCATGAATGGTTTAAACAAGATCTTCCAAAATATCTCTTTCCTGAGGATCCATCATATAGTTCAACCATGATTGATGATGAAGCCTTAAAAGAAGTGTGTGAAAAATTTGAATGCTCAGAAGAGGAGGTTCTCAGCTGCCTTTATAATAGAAATCACCAGGACCCGTTGGCAGTTGCCTATCATCTCATAATAGATAACAGGAGGATAATGAATGAGGCCAAAGATTTTTACTTGGCAACAAGCCCACCTGATTCTTTTCTCGATGATCATCATTTGACTCGGCCCCATCCTGAAAGAGTACCATTCTTGGTTGCTGAAACGCCAAGGGCACGCCACACCCTCGATGAATTAAACCCACAGAAATCAAAACACCAAGGTGTAAGGAAAGCAAAATGGCATTTGGGAATTAGAAGTCAAAGTCGACCGAATGATATCATGGCAGAAGTTTGTAGAGCAATTAAACAACTGGATTACGAATGGAAGGTAAAAAAGAAAGGGCATTCTGACTTTAAGCACATTTGCTAAACCTGTAGTCTATAAAATGTTTTATAGAAGAACTGCTTTTGACTTTCTTTTTGTCCATACCACACACTAGGTTGTAAACCCATATTATTTGCGTGTTCGAAGGAAGAATCCTGTAACAAGTACATACTCCAAAATGAGTCTACAGTTATACCAAGTGGATAGTAGAACGTACTTACTGGATTTCCGTAGTATTGATGGTATGTACCTTCCACGAAACAACTTAGTTGACAAACTAGACCTTGTTACCTAACTTGGCTTTTTAGTCTTTGATTCTTTCGAAGCTTCTTGAACTGTTCCTAGTAATTCAATAGCAAAAGAACATTAAATGTGAGATTTGGTGCCTCTGTGATGTCAGCATTTGTGAATCTTAGGTTTGCTGTAATCTTACAGTGTATTGTCCTTTTATGATTACCTTAAAGCCAGATGCAGTCTGATCCTAAAATGATAGTTTCTGCCACATTTCTGTTTTTTGGTGTGGTTCATTTTGGTAAGATAAAATGTTTTATTTAGAAATAAATGTTAACTTTTTATTAAATTTTTTTATATCTGATATTTAATAAATTTTTTTTTCATTTAAGAATTAGAGTACAGTTATTACCTTTTAGAGTTGATTGATAAGGCAGTGTCAATAGATTTGATTAGTAGCTCATAGGACAAGAAATCATTTGCCAAGTAAGGTTTCTTACAGGGTACTGAGAGAGAAATGTTTTGGATAGGTAAGGGACTTAATGGTTAGTTTTCTCCTCTCATCCAGCCTTTTGCTCCCAGCCTGACACTAGAGACATATCAGAGGTATGCATCCTGTATTAGTTTTGTGAGTTACATGATTCCAATTTTATCTCTTAATAAAGTGTTCTTAAATAATAGACCACTTTTGTATGAAAGCATGATATGGGGATTCCTGGGACTAAAGATAACGTTCAAGATAATGATCATAATTCGTTAAAAGTGACATTGTTAACCTTAATTTTAGATTGCTATGCATTTCTATGTACCTACAGTCATAAACAATCAGAGACAGCCTGATGATCAAATTGAAATATTCAGACTTTTTAAGTTAGGTGTATTTTAATTGGTCATCAAAATAATGATTTACTTCAGTATAAAATCTTAAAAGTACCTCCTTGAATATTTTTAAAGAAACATTAAATTATGATAAGTATTGGTTTACTGTTTTAATAGTTTGAAAGTGAAAACCTATACTTAGAAAATATATCTCTGATTACCATTATGTATAGTTTGCCAGAATATCTTAACTATTTATATTGATTAAGTTGAGGTAAATTATTAATTGCAGAAAGCAGACATTTTTGTTATTGTTGTTTGTTTGTTTATTAAATTTAAATCCAAGTTAACATACAGTGTAATAATTATTCCAGGAATAGGATTTAGTGATTTATCACTTACATATAACATGAGCACCCAGTGCTCATTTGAAATGTCTTCCTTAATGCCTCTCACCCGTTTTTAGCCCTCCCCCCCACCTAACACCCCACCACCAACCCTCTGTTTGTTTTCTGCATTTAAGAGTCTCTTATGGTTTGTCTCTTTTTCTGTTTTTATATTATTTTTGCTTCCCTTCCCTTATGTTCTTCTGTTTTGTCTTAAATTCCACATATGAACAAAATCATATATTTGTCTTTCTCTGACTTACTTCGCTTAGCATAATACATTCTAGTTCCATCCACATTGTTGCAAATGGCAAGATTTCATCCTTTTTGAATGCCGAGTAATATTCCACTGTGTGTGTGTGTGTGTGTGTGTGTGTGTGTGTGTGTGTACGTACATATACACTCACACCCCACATCTTCTTTATCTATTCATCAGTCAGTGGACATTGAGCACTTTCCATACTTTGGCTATAGCCCAGAGTGGTGCTATAAACTTTGGGGTGCATGTGCCCCTTCGAATCAGCACTCTTGTATCCCTTGCATAAGTACCTAGTAGTGCAATTGCTGGGTCATAGGGTAGTTCTGTTTTTTGAGGCACTTGCATACTGTTTTCCTGAGTGGCTGCATCAGTTTGCATTCCCACCAGCAGTGCAAAAGGGTTCCCTTTTCTCTGCATCCTCGTCAACATCTGTTGCTTCCTGAGTTGTTAATTTTAACCATTCTGACAGGTGTGAGATGGTATCTTGTTTTTGATTTGTATTTTTCTGATGATGAGTGATGTTGAGCATCTTTTTATGTGTCTGCTAGCCATCTGGATGTCTTCTTTGGAAAAGTGTCTATTCATGTCTTTTGCCCATTTCTTCACTGGATTATTTGTTTTTTGGGTGTTGAGTTTGATAAGTTCCTTATAGATTTTGGATACTAACCCTTTATCTGATATGTCATTTGCAAATGTCTTCTCCCATTCCATCAGCTGCCTTTTAGTTTTGTTGATTATTTCCTTTGCAATGCAGAAGCTTTTTATCTCAATGAGGTCTCAGTAGTTCATTTTTGCTTTTGTTTCCCTTGCTTTGGGAGACAGGTTAAGTAAGAAGTTGTTGTGGCTCAGGTCAAAGAGGTTGTTGCCTCTTTTCTCCAGTATTTTGATAGCTTCCTGTCTTATGTTTAGGTCTTTCATCCATTTTGAGTTTATTTTTGTGTATGGTATAAGAAAGTGGTTCAGGCTCATTCTTCTGCATGTTGCTGTCCAGTTTTCCCAACACCATTTGCTGAAGAGACTGTCTTTTTTCCATTGGATATTCTTTCCTCCTTTGTCAAAGATTAGTTGGCCATATGTTTGTGGGTCCATTTCTGGGTTCTGTATTCTGTTCCAGTGATCTTGTGCCAATACCACACTGTCTTGAAGATTATAGCTTTGTAATATAGCTTGAAGTCCAGAATTGTGATGTTTCCAGCTTTGGTTTTCTTTTTCAGGACTAATTGGCTACTTGGGGTCTTTTGTGGTTCCATACAAATTTTAGGATTGTTTGTTCTAGTTCAGTGAACAGTAGTGTGCTATTTTGATAGGGATTACTTTATTTTTCTTTTTTTTTTTTTTTTTTTTTTTTTTTTTTTTAATTTTTTTTTTTTCAACGTTTATTTATTTTTGGGACAGAGAGAGACAGAGCATGAACGGGGGAGGGGCAGAGAGAGAGGGAGACACAGAATCGGAAACAGGCTCCAGGCTCTGAGCCATCAGCCCAGAGCCTGACACGGGGCTCGAACTCACGGACCGTGAGATCGTGACCTGGCTGAAGTCGGACGCTTAACCGACTGCGCCACCCAGGCGCCCCTATTTTTATTTTTAAATGGGAAAAATATCTTTATGCCAATGTTTGTATGAGTAAACTATAATAGACTTTTAGTAAATGATATGATACTATAACATGGTTTGAAATTTATATTAATTCAGATTTCCCATATGCATACACTCTCAAAACGAATTTAACACTATCTATTAAAAAGCCTGACAGAGCACACTTGACTCATAATATCAAGTAAATACTCTATCCTAGCATTTCAAGAGTATAACTGTATATATAAATGTTTTCTCATAAACAGAGCCTTTAATTAAGTACAAGTTTTTAGCAGTTCTTCATTGGCCATATCCATTAAGATCTGTTACCACTTTTGTTTATCTAAGATCCTATGGAATTATTAGATTTACCTATAAATTTTTTGTCTTTTTCATAAACAAAAGAATAATACCTACTTAGTGTCAGAAAGGCACAGGTTTGAGCGGTAATGTACTGGCCTCAAATTTATAACCTTAGGTTTATTAGCCCCTGGGTTTGCCAGTTGAATGAACATTTACTGTTTTTGTGTACTGTATTTTCAACTCTAGTTTTTCCTTAATTTGTTTATTGGAATCATTTCATGAGATCTTATATACAAAGAGAAAGTGGGAGAGTGAAAAGCAGTGAGATGACAGGCAAAGGAGGTTCTAGATTTACCTCTTTATTACCTATGGCAAGTCACTACACTTTTTGAAGGTTATATTTTCTTATCAATAGAATGAAGCATTGGATGAGGTGATTTCCAAGATTTCTCCCAAATTTTAAGTGCATGCATTCTATGATTTTAATATAGAGAAATGAATTTTTATTGCTAGGGAAGGATGTTTATTGAGCCCCATGTTATTAGTTTATTGGGCTATTAATTTTGGAGTGTAAGTCTGATGAGTAGCTACATACTGATGAGTAGCTATGTGCTATACCCAATGTTGATTAGGCATGAGGAGAATATGTACTGTATGTAAAGAAGACAAATGGTTTAACACAGATTCATCACTTCTATTTTAGAAAGTTTTCAAAATAAATGTGCTCTTGATAGGTGGTCAGTGGTCTCACTCAAAGAAGCAAATTAAATACTATTCAACTTTTGTTGGGGGGTGGGAGCGCACCTGGGTGGATCAGTCGGTTAAGCATCCAACTCTTGATTTCTGCTCAGGTCATGATCTCACGGTTTGTGAGATTGAGCCCTGTGTTGGGCTGTGTCTGCACTGGCAGCATGGGGCCTGCTTGGGATTCTCTCTCCCTCTCTCTCTGCCCCTCCTCCCCTCCCTCATGCGTGCACTCTCTCTCTCTCTCTCTCTCTCTCTCTCTCTCTGAAAATAAACAAAACTTAAAAGAATAAAAATTATGGGGTGTAATGGATTATAATAAATTGAAATTTTTTTTTACCCAGATGAAATTACTGAAGCCAAATCAGGGACTGCTACTCCACAGAGATCAGGATCAGTTAGCAACTATCGATCTTGCCAAAGGAATGATTCAGATGCTGATGCTCAAGGAAAATCCTCAGAAGCTTCACTTACCTCATCTGTGACCTCACTTGACTCTTCTCCTGTTGACTTAACTCCAAGACCTGGAAGTCACACGATAGAATTTTTTGAAATGTGTGCGAATCTAATTAAAATTCTTGCACAGTAAACCTAAAACTTTGCTTATTTCTTTGATAGCAATAAGCATGCATAAAAAATCATAGCCAAATGCTTCCATTTATAATCAAGTTATAACTGAGGATTGGCCTTTTGGAATGCAATTTGCACAGGAATTGGAACATGATTAATAGTTAAAAGCCTAATGTGCAAAAATGAATTAAGATAATTTTGTTCATTGTTCAGTAGGCATATAGCATAATGTAATTTTCACAATGAATTATAGGTCTCTCAGGCTCACTTGATTTTTGGCTGTTTTATATTTAATGTATACAGGGCTTTGTAGAATATTAATTTACCATAAAGGCCTTCATGTATTATTACAAGTTGATATGTTCTATAATTGCTTCATAAATTTATTCAATAAATATTTGCCTAGAATCCCTAGCGACCTTTATAGGTGATTTGTTTTGGGGGGATCCTGAACTTCTTACATAGCAGGTATTTTCCAGTAGTGACAGGCTGGACAACTCTTCCATATCTCTTCCCTTAATATTCTTTAGTATATGGTAAGCATATCAAAGATTAAATTAGACATAACTAAAATTTTTTCTTTAGCTTGATAAATCCAAAAACACACAGAACTTACATATTCAGATACTCTAGGCACTAAGTTAAATCTTAAAATTTGTCTCACTATATTCTGTACATAAATTTCTCTTTTTGTCACAAGAGCTGAGTTGCATATGCTATAAATAAATCATGTTTTTGTCAATCTCACAAATTCCGCTGCTCATGTCCGTCAGTATTGAATGTATACAAAAATTTCTGGTCATTCAATTATGTATCTTTTAAATTGATTTAGCACACAGAATATTTCCTACCATTTAAATGCTCAGATAAGACTTTTTCTCCCAAATTTTATTGTGACCATTTTTAAAAACAAAAATAGAAAGGCTATAGGGTGATCACATGTGTATCTACCACTTAGATTCAACACTGGTTAACATTTTGCCACATTTGCTTTATATCTATGTATGTATATAGACATAGTGTACATATGTACGTGTATATAGATATATATGTTTTTTTCTCCTTGAACCGTTTGGATGTTGCTGACATACTTATCACCCTCAACATTTCAAGCATCTCCTAAAAAAAAATAACATTTTCCTAAAAACATAATACTATTATCAGATTAGTAATTCCCTAAAGTCATCTAATCATGCATATTTAGGTTTCCCCAGTTGTCTTCCAAATTTCTTTTATAGCTGGCTATTTCAAACCAGGATTCAGTGAAAATTTAGACATTGCCAGGTATGACATTATTACTTCAATAAAATAATGGAACGAATCAGTTAGTGCTTCTAAATGGTCACATTTGTTTTAGATTTTAATCATTTTTTAAAAAGTAGCATTATGGGAACTGCCTAAAGATGCTTAATTAATCTTTGTAAGATCTCTATACTTTCTTTTCCTTGATCCTTCCTTTTTCCTAGTAGCATTCCATAATAGTTGTAAATGAAGATTTAAAGTCACTTCAGTTAAAATTGGTGTCCTGTGTATGCTAATAAAAAATAAAAAGTACTATATCACCCATAATTGCCTTATACTATTTTAACTTCAAGGTATTGATTTTCTTTGGTATCAATCATTTTTCCATTGCAGAAGAGCTATCTTATTTCTCACTTAATACTTTTGTATTATAGGACTATTTTTGGCAAATACAGTGAACACCTTTGTAACCAGACAGTAATATACTCAAGTGTCTTGATAGCTTGCACAGTTAACTATAGTTGTAGATTTGGTTCCAGTACCCCTAGAAACATGCAGTGAATTCAAAAGAAAAATCTTGCTTATGTCCAGGACTTATCTATTCAACTTAGAATCTGAAAGCTGTATAAAATAATAGGAGTGCAACTTAAATACTAAGTTCAAAACTGTATAACTTGTATGTGGCCCTGCATTTTTGGGATATTGATTTAATGTAGGGTCTCTAAATGCAGCATTATGTTCCTGATGTTAAGAACAGAAGACTGTATTTTTGAAAAGTTACAGATTTGTACATAGAACTAAGACATTGTCAGAATGTCTCTATAAGCTGTTGTGGGGAGGTGGTGGGGCGGTGGGGGGGGGGGGGATTGAAAGGAGGAACCAATTAAATAGGACCTTCTAAAAATTGTTAATTTTGTAAACTTTGCTGCTTGTTAAGTTATTGTGATTCCTTTTAGTTACTGAGTTTTATTTTGAAGATATTTAAATATTGCACTTGTACAAATAGTATGATAAATGCACAGATTATTGCAGCAGATTCTTTTTTAAGCTGGGATATTTGAAATGACAACTTTTGGTTGAATGTGTCGAGGTTGCATCAGAATTTTCAAAAATTTATTGTAGTTTGCAAATTCTTACTAACTGAAGATGTAAGGGAGTCAATGCAAATGATTTTTAATCTTTTTTTATTATCTTTTCAGCAATTTATATTTTTTGTGATTTATGCAACCATATTTTTACTTTGTCTTGACAACTGAAAGATGTATAAGGTTTTTGCCAGAAATGTACTGTATACATAGTTTTAAATATAACAGATTTTACTGATATGTAAAAATTTTGCCATTAAAATAAATGATTTCTCACCAAGAGGAAATTTTCTACCAGGTTGGGGGATATGGGAGCTTAATATATCTAATTTAAAATAATTTCACTGAAATAAATTCCATTGCTTTTACTTTGATTATATTTTCTCTTGAGATGCTTTTGTAGTTTTTCAGAGTTTTAAATGATTTTATATAAAAAGTCCTGTGCTTTCACCTTCCCCATCCCCCCTCCAATCCCTGCTTTTTGACCTTGTAGTTTTACCATTCACACTGAATGAATGCTTGGTGGACTGTGGCTAGATGTAGGACTCCATGCATCTATGCTTGGACTGGCATCCTTGGAATGAAAAACAAACGGTGTGCTGTTTAAATCTTTTCCCCTTAATTCTTGTCCATCTCCTCCATACACAGCAGAAGTCTTATTTTCATTGTGAATTCTCCTGACAAGATGAATGAAATTCCACATACAACATAACTATAAATTGGTAATGGGGTAGAAATCAATCTTTGTGGTACAGTATTTCTGAGATGTGTTCGCATATGTTTCAACCGGGGTATATTTAGGTATATAATTTAAAATACCTTGATTTAGAAAGTGGATGATAAAAACATAATTTTTCCTGTTACAGTGTGCTTAAATTTTTAACTTCCGGAAAAATTAAATAAAAAGCACTTATTCCTAGCTGACCATGTGTGCACCTTTTTGACAGTGTGCCTAAATATAAAACATAGTGCTTAAACAAATTTTAACACTCAGACGTGTGATTTTTGTGTCAACTAAACTACTGAGTTTTGATTTCATCTAAAAGTTAACCACCTGAACAAAATATTAAGATATATACAATAAAAGCCAAAGTGGTTACCAGTTTTCCTTGGTTGCTAACATTAGATTTGGTTACAATTCCACTACTGTTAGAATTCAACTGTAATGAAATCTTATATCCCGTATGGCACTGTTAGGCCTTGTGCCAGATTGTTGGCATTCCAAATCGTTAAAATAGTTTGATAATTGTAACAAAAGAAAACAGTACTAAAGAATGTTATGAATAGCACATAAGATTGTTCTTTAGGGAACTTATAAATTGCTCTAGATATTTATTTACCCTGACTGTATAAAACTGTACAATAAATGCTCTTGTTTGAAAAATCAATATTTATTGAACTGTTCTATTGTAGGCAAATAGACTGTTCTACTTATTGTGAATGCCAATAAATGCTAAGTATGATAAATTTAGAGGATTTCTAGCAACTTGGAAGATCATATTATCAATAAATAGCCCAAGAAATGTATTAAATATATTAATAAGTACATCAAGTTCATAGGACAAAGTAAGTAGGGAAGTGGTGGGTGAAGTGTGAAAACTCAGTGTTGGAGGTAGCCTTTATCAGAGTAAAGTTATTTGGGAGATTTAGGAAAGACCCCTAGAAAGGAGTACAGCTTTAAGCACCGCTTAAATTATTCACTCTACAAATTATATCCCCTCATATAGCTACTATGAACCAAGCACTAAGAATGTGACTATAAAGGCATAAATCCTGCTGAATGTCTTGTCCGAGAGACACGTGTTATAAAGGCTTAAAGAAGTATTACAGAAAAGTGCAAATCATAAATATTTGACTTGATGAATTGTCACTGATTTAGGTTTGCAGTGAACACAGTCATGTAAACCTCTACCCTTCTTAAGAAACATTCTACTACCTTTGTATCTTTTATAATTAATGTCAGTAGTTGTATACTCCAAATGATAATACTTCTATGATATGACAGTATAATTGGCAACACTGTCCATTGTTTTCCTGAAGTAACAGGCTCCTTTTGTTCATTTTCATAAGGCCTGTCACATACCCAATCCTGAATAACCAGCTGGACTGCTGGCTGTTTTCTAAATAAGAGTTGCATTCCACACAACAAAAGTGTATACCTCAGTTTATAATGCGATCTCACAATTGCTTTTACTGGTGACATCATACTTCAATACACGGCAAAAGTACTTAATGAGTACTTCCCATTTTGTGATACAGATTAAAAACTACTCCAGGGTCATTTTAATAATTTTTACCGCTTCCTAAAGGACATTCTTGAGTGTTTTTGGTAGTATGAGTGTGGTGGTGAAACTGCAATGACAACTAGCACAGTTTGGTATCATTGCCTTAATACCAGCTGAGCTGTCAGCAGTTTTACCCATCACTGCTTTTCCATTATCAGTGCAAAGTTAACATGGTGAAAAAGGCCAACGAGGTCTTCCTATGAGCATAAAAATAGTTTGAAGAAGCCTTGGCAACCCTCAGGGGTCTGAGGATCACCTTGGAGAATCATTGTTGTACAAGAGCAGCTCTCAATGCGGCAGGGGTGGGTGAACAATTTTTCTTCCAGGAACATTTGGCAATGACTGGAGACGTTTTTGATTGTCACAACTGGAGGTAAAATGGTGGTGGTAGTGGATGCTAACGGCATCTAGTGGGTAGATTCCAGAGATGCAGCTAAACACCCTTCGGGGCACAGGAGACTCCATTTCTCCAACAAAGATTATGCAGTTTGACAAACAACGCTGAGATTGAAAAAGCATCGTCTACAAAATTGGTCTTCCCTTGCACAAGATAGCCACGTCGATAAATTAACAATCTTTTCAATTTCCTAAACAGTCCCCTGGGTTACGTTTCCCCACTTAATTATTTTCAAGACATAAACTACACCTACGTTTAGGTTTTAATTCTTCTGGGCCCAATTTACTTATGTTTTCCGACGTGAAGCCTACAGTTGAACCAAGGGCCTCCTTGATCTGCTTTATCTGTTCCCCTGAACCCTTTTTCTTTTTTTTAAAATTTTTTTTTTTCAACGTTTATTTATTTTTGGGACAGAGAGAGACAGAGCATGAACGGGGGAGGGGCAGAGAGAGAGGGAGACACAGAATCGGAAACAGGCTCCAGGCTCTGAGCCATCAACCCAGAGCCTGACGCGGGGCTCGAACTCCCGGACCTCGAGATCGTGACCTGGCTGAAGTCGGACGCTTAACCGACTGCGCCACCCAGGCGCCCCCTGAACCCTTTTTCAATGGAGTTTTCCCTTAGTCCTTTGCGTCTAGGCTGGCCTCTCAGCTGGACTGTAAACTCCTTTAAGGCAGGATCCCATTTTAATGCTATGAATTCCCGCCCAAGTCCTTCTCCCCGACCCCCGTTTGTTTTACCTCGCGACTGAACGACTCCCGCAGTCTCACGGGGCCTGATTTTGACTGCGCGCACCTCAACCTGCGCAGCCGCAGTTTCCCGCGCTCCGGCACTGCCGTCGTCCGCGCGCCTGACGCCCCCGACTGCTGCTAGAGGGCGCTCCGGGTCCGGGTGGCCCGGACTACAGATCCCAGAGGGTAATGGGGGTGGAGGCTACCGCAGCGACTTCTGGGATTTGTGGTCCCGGGAAAGGGACTGGCCGACCTTAAGGGCTTTGAGAGTCGCCTCTTCCCTGCCCGCTTCTCTGAGCGGTTCCGACGCCTCGGGTCGGCCAGGCCAGTTTCTTGAGAGACCTGGCATCAAAGGCAGGCAGGTAGGAGGTCGGGCATGTTAGTTTCCGCTTCCGGTCGGTAAAGGGCAAGCACAATGTAAACACGGGACCAGGGGAGTGGTCATTAGGTAACTGAGGGTACGCTGACCGTGGTGGAAGCCCAGGAAGAGGAGGAAAACGAGGCTGGTGGGTCTTGTGGTTAGGGGAGAAAGGACCTTCAGAAGTCGGAGTTGAGACGCGACGGAGGTGCGGCAGAGCCGGGACGCTAAGGTTGGTCTTTAGGGACGAGCATTTCTAGGGGTCGGGCCCTCCCTTACACCAAGGCAGGAGCGGCTTCCGCGTTTCCACGGCGGCGGGTGCGGCTTTGACCTTCCCTTAACGGTGGGAGGAGCGGAACCGAGCTTGCTTCCCACCTCTGGTTGAGCGTGTCTGCAGCTACTGGCGGCCTGGTGGACTCGCGGGGGACGTCCAGGGCAGCCTTTATGAGCTTCGCATATCTTTATTGTTTTGGAAACGAGAGGAACTTAGTAATACACGTTTCTCTCGCGCGGTGACATTTTCGGGTAAATTGCTTCTTGAATCTCTCACCTCTGAATACATCCCGATACCCGAAGGATCCTGTTTTGATTTCCTAATGGTGTTCATCTAGTGGTTTCTCGCCTTAGGTGCTGCCTCCTCCTATGCAGTGAAGACAGGCATTCTCGGTTTGTGGTTGGATAAACTGTCCGGCCGACAAAAGTAACTGAATGCCTACTGTAGAGATCATTGAACCAGCAAAAGAATTTAGAACACAACATTGTTGTTTAGAGTTTCATGGCATTCATTAACTATGATCCTATGTAAAATAAATTTATGTTTCATGAGTTTAACGTGAAACCTCTGTGATTATGGTTTACCCATATGGTTTCTTATCCGGGTGAAAAAACGTGAAGGCTAAGATGTTGGCGCCTTGTGCATCTAACTATAGATTCAGGAAAACCTTATTTATAAGAAGCTTTAATTTCATGTTCAGATATCCTTAGAGGAACAGCAAACTAGTACTAATTAAGATACCTTAATACCTGAGTATTAAGTTTTTCAGGATAGAAACTGTTTTGCATGTGTCCTAGGACTAACCCGACTTTTATTTTTGAAAACCTGTCAGCCTCCCCTCCAGGAAGCCTCAAGAGTCTCCACTGAAGTCATAGTATCCTATTTTGTTTACTCTCCAATAGCACTTATCCTGGAGTGGATTGACTGTACCCTTGTCTCCAGACAGTTGAAGAAAATACAAAACTGTGCTAATGGCCCTTGGTAACAGATTCAGTGGATTTTAACCTCAGTGGCCCTTGATACTGTTTGGTATCTTTATTCATCCCTTATTGTTGATTTTCCTATCTTCCCATTCTCTCTAGTGACTCAGAACTTTTCTTCTCAAGTACTCAGATCTGTTTCTTTTCCCTTTACTTGGAGCCAATGACTAGCCACCTATTTCTCTGGGAAATTTGAAGCTTGGGGTATGAAATCCTTCATTGTCTTTTCCCTCTACCCCTGAACTTGTCTGTACTTTTCACTCAGTATGAACTCTTGGCTGAGAGGAATGTATTCTTTTCACTCTCTTCAAGGCTAAACTTGTCAGTTACTAGCAGTCATCAGGCCTTTTATACCCTGTAACCTCATTCTGTCCTGATCTCCACAGCCTCTGGTCTCTAGAAGAGCTTAAAGCATTTGTGGAGGAAAATGGCAGAAACACCTGAGGCGGTGCTGTGCATGGCTTTTCACACATGCTTGAGAACCACCATCTGGGGACTCAGCCTATACCTGTCTTTGACATTTAGAACAATGGTTCAGGTTGGAGATAGGGGACGGTAATGGGAGTCTGATTACCCATTAATGTTTAAAAAATATATTTGGGTCTCTCTGTTCCTTTTTCCTTTCCTCGCCACCTTAAACCCTGCTTCCAATAATATGTAGACCTGACTGATGATTTCTAATGTAATTTGACATTAGTGAATACACCAGACTTTCCTCTGTTAACAGCGTTCCCACAGTACCTGGTTCCTCACATTGCTGCTTTAGGAACAGAGTTCATTTGGAAACTTGAAGGCAGCTAATGTAGTCATCCTCATTCTTGTCACTTTTAGGGACAGTCATAAATACAAGAGGTCTTCTTGATATCCTGATGTCTTATGAGACCTTCCTAATGATTTATTTTCTGACATTGTTTTCATTTTGTGCCTCTGGCCTTCTTTTCCATAGTAACCACACTTCATTTTCAGCCATTTCTTGGTTCTTCCCCTAAGTTACTTATAGTCATCTTCAAACATAGGAAACTCATTCTTCTCTATTATAATGGGTCTGGGTAGAGAGTCTGCCATTATCCTGATTTCCTAGTATAGCTTATAATACATTACTACTCTGGGTTGTTTTTTTTTGTTGTTGTTGTTTTTTTTTTTTTTTTTTAAATAATCCCTGCTCCAGGGGAGAATATGTGGTTCGCCCATATCTGTTTGTGCATTTCTTGATCGCAATAATTTATTGAGACTTCCTTGTATTCATTAGAAACTTAGGCACAAGACCTATAATCTTCTCATCCCTACAAGTTCTGCCATTATCTTAGGCCTTTCCATGTGAATAACCTCATAGTCACCTTTACTTTTTTGTCCCCTCCCTTCTATTGATTACTTATATTTCATTTCAGCCATGTGCCTCAGTGATGAAGACCTTGACACCTGGTAGAACTTATTCACTATTTCGTTTCTCTTCTTCCTTTACTCCTCGAATGCCCATTATTTGATAATTTTATAAAAACATCTGCTTCATTGCTTTTCTTTATCCCCCTGGTTGATTACTCAGTTGATCATAATCTCTTTGGAGTTATGGAGTCCCTTGAGAATGGAAGGAACGTTTAGACACTCTTCTCCAGAAAACACACAGACATAACAGAAATTTATATGCCTTTCCAGGAGTTTCTCAGTATCTTTAAGCTCATCCATATAATTAGTAAGAGTTCTTGGATCTCATCATAAATTCCTTCTCTAAATAAATACTTGATGAATGCTTTTATGGTTTTCTTTAATTTTGTTCCATCAATTGTCCTTTCTTATCCTTTACATTTGTGTATCATTGCTGATATACAAAACAGTTTAACATTTGTTATTTAAAATTTTTTTTAATGTTTTATTTATTTTTGAGAGAGAGAGAGAGAGAGGGCCAGAGGGGCAGAGGGGAAGAGGCAGAGAGAGAGGGAGACACAGTCTGAAGCAGGCTCTAGGTTCTGAGCTATCAGCCCAGGGCCCAGAGTGGGGCTCGAACCCATGAACTGTGAGATCATGACCTGAGCTAAAGTCAGGTGCTCAACTGACTGAGCCATCCAGGTGCCCCTAACATTTGTTATTTTTTAGATTTACCCAATAGTTCTGTGAATGAAGTTATATACCAAGTTTGACTCTTAAAACTTTTTATTGTGAAAAATTTCAAACGTGTATGAGAGAGGAAGGTACAAGGAATCCTATGTGCATATCACCTAACTGTATCTATTATCAACTCAGAGCAATGTTTTCATCTGTATTTCTCCTGTGTTGTACCCTGCCCCCTCTGGTGATCACTTTGAAACAATTTCTAGATATCATAGGATTCCATGTGAAATATTTTAGTATACATTCCTAAAAGATAATAGTACTGTAATTATGTTTATAGCAAGAATGCTTATCTTTTTGTTATAAACATAATTACAGTACTATTATCAGACCTTAAAAAATAGCAGTAATTTTTTAATACCATCAAGTATTAAATCAGTGTTCCAGTTTTCCCTATTATTTCCTAAATGTTTCCTCCCAATTGGCTTGCTTGAATCCAGAGCTCAACAAAACCCATGCATTATATTTGGTTATTAAATCTTTGAAGTCTCTTTTTACCTCCATCTTTCTCTGTCTCTCTCTCTCTGTCTCTCTGTCTCTCTCTCTCTCTGCTTTCCTGGAAGTTTATTTCCTGAAGAAACCAGTTTTATTTTTTAGTTTTTGTTATTTGCTATCTGCATCTCTGGCATGTTATTTAGCACGCTCATCTGCATTCCGTATTTTCTATAAACTGGTAGAGTTTGTTAGACTTGATCTGATTCAGGATTAATTTCTGGCAAGGATACTTCATGGGTAGTATGCCACTTCCAACAGGAGATACTTACTGACCAGTTGTGTTCCTTTGTGATGTTAGCACCCTTTGTTGATTATTGCCTTGATCCATTATTTAAGAGTTTAGAAAGTGGTGACAGTTAAGCATCTGACTCTTTTTTTTCTTTTAATGTTTTACTTTTTGAGAGAGAGCGAGTGTGAGCAGGAGAGGGGCAGAGAGAGAGGGCGATAGAGGATCCAGAGTGGGCTCTGAACTAATAGCAGAGAGTCCAATGACAGGTTCGAACTCATGAATGGTGAAATCCTGACCTGAGCCCAAGTTGGACGCTTAGCTGACTGAGCCACCCAGGCTCCCCATGTGTTTGACTCTTGATTTCAGCTCAGGTCAGGATCTCACAGTCAGTTGTGAGATCAAGGTGTGAGATCGAATCCTGCCTGCTTGGAATTCTCTTTCTCCCTTTCCCTGTCCCCTGCATGTGTGCTCTCTCAAAACAAAACAAACCAAAACAACAACAAAAAAACTGGTGACAGTCTGATTCTCTTATCTGTCTTCACCTATCATTTGTAATACTTCTCTAAAGGCCACATTTGAATTTTAAAGTTGTTTGTTTGTAATTTTCAGAATGGCTTCCTTTGGATGGAAGAGAAGAATTGGGGAGAAGGTCTCAAAGGTCACTTCACAGCAGTTTGAAGCCGAAGCTGCTGATGAGAAGGATGTAGTTGAGAATGAAGAAGGGAGCTGGCTTCATGCGGTTAAACGCAGGAAAGAAAGTCTCCTCGAGGGCTGTGTTGAGAAAAGTAAGCAGCTGAAGGATGAAGGAGCCAGTTTGGTTGAAAATAAAAGGTGTGTTTTTGGAGTTTTCTTACAGAGAACAGTTTACATTTCTGACTGCCAGTAATGAGATGAAGAGTTATGAATTCTATAAATTTATGTTTTAAAAATCTGATCTAGGTGCTAAATTCATCAAATAAATAAGTTTTAAAGACATTTCAGCATTCCCATGGAATCTGAAAGTTTGTAGAAGAGTCTTCAAGATACTTGTAATGTCTGCTTTTGCCATCATTTTTGTTCTGTCTAAATAAGGGTATATGCTAAATGAAATGTAATGCAAATTATTGCTTGATAGGAGATAGTTTAATTTCTGGAATCTTTCTCTTTGTGTTATTATATACCAGATATATTAGATGTTTCTTGAAGGGTTTTGAGGACATGTACTTTTTTGTTTTTTTAAATGGATGTTCAGTTATTCTTTGCCATTGGCTTTTATATACTTCAGTAAATATGGTTGGTGCACAGGAATTTGACAGTAGTTTCATTTATCCTCAGCCCTATCCTCAGCTAAGCTCTTATGCTTTTCTGTTTACCCTTCACCCTTTTCTTTTTTCCTTTTTTCCCTTTCCTCTTTTTCCTATTCTCTTATTCCTTTTCCCCTGCCTCTGCTTAGGTCTTTCATTGGGACCAAAAATCATTCTTTCACAAATCAGTGGGGAGAGGACCCATTGTTTAGTAGATTGTGTAGAAAAAGCTAGAAGTTTATATATGGGAAAACACAATTCTATATGTAGGAAAGTAAAATACATAGGAAAACAAAATATATATAAAAAATGTATCTAATACCACATACAAAGATGGACTCTAGAGGGATAGAAAATCTCAATGTGAAATGTAAAACTTACACAGTTAATGAAAGAAAATATAGAAGGGTAGCTTTATAACCTAGAGGCAGGAAAGGACTTTTTTTTTTTTTTTTGAAGTTTATTTATTTAGTTAGTTAGTTAGTTAGAATGAGAGAGAGCATGTGTGCATGCACAGGCAGGGGAGGGACAGAGAGGAGAGACAGAATCCCAAGCAGGTTCCTCGCCATCAGCACAGAACCTGATGCAGGACTTGAACTCACGAACTGTGAGATCATGACTTGAACTGAGATCAAGAGTTGGACGCTTAACCAACTGTGCCACCCAGGTGCCCCACAACATTTTTATTTTTTAAAACTTCAGTTCTATATTAGAGTCGAAAGAAGCTCAACCCACACCCCCCCCCCC